ACGCAAGTATAGAATTTTAATTAGATACTGTAGGTTATAAAGTTTAGCATTAAAACATCATCGTATGCTAATCAGTCTTAATAAAGTAAAATTAAATGTTAGAGTTGATAGTTGATTGTTTTCTCTAAGAGTTGATTATGCTCCGTGAGTTCGCAAGTCAACTTGGAAAAATGGCTTGAAAATTGAATAAGAAATTTATGACTAATATGTAGTTAGTTCCTTATTCACTTAAAGCAGTTTAGTTAATGTTTCATTTTGAAAATTAACTGAGACAGTAAATATAGCTTGCAGCTTATGATGTACATTCTTAAATGTTGAATTGCATACTCTATCATTTCGTTTGGATAATATAGATAGGTTAGAACCTTTGAAAGAGAAAGTGGATGAGACTACTGCAACTACGGAATCCAAGCCCAAAGTGATTAAAGGCCGGGATATTTTCCAATATTTAGTTAACTGGATGCTGAGTAACCAGTGAAACCTAATAAAGCTTACAATAGGTATCTTTTACTTCATTATCTAACTTTGTCAAGAATGTCTTTGCTTCATAATTTGATACAGTGTTACTGAAATATTACCAGACGGTATATGGTTACGTCGACCGGCTATTTTTAAAATGATTCCTTCTTCAAAATTTGATATTTTAAAATGACAGGATCGAATGATTCATTAACTTTAAAATTCATCAAGGCGATATTCAGCATTATTATTCTTCGTTAGAGAACATATAAGAACAGTATCGCAGTTTTAAAATATTGTTATCAAAATTGTCTGAGTACTATTCAATTGAGACTGGAATTAAATCAAATTTATAAATTACTACGACGGATGATAACTTAATTTATTTTGAATTGAGACCATCAAATTTAATAGTGAAATGGAATTAAGTAACATGAGCAATACTACAATTCAATCTTTAAGAGTCATTAAAATAAATTCCTTAGTCTTCTGCATCATCTTCTTGGCTATGGCTAGCACTGGAATGATATGGAATTTTGTGCTTTTTCGCACCATTTATAAACTCAAAAGATATCATTCTCCAACATTTATTTTAATGGCTCACATGTCTCTTTCTGATTTCATTTGTCTAACAACTAATTTCTTATATATATTTATTAGTACTATATCTAGCTATATCGGTATATCCTTAATTTTACTTAGCATTTTATGCAAGATTCTCATTTTTATTGCCGTAATTGCCTATACAACATCAACACAATTGTTAATTGCAATCAGTTTCGATCGATTTAATACAATTGTCCAAGCGTCACATCAACATACTATTCCCTATTTTCGTAAAGGTAATAACCTTCGAAATTCTATTTTAGTCATTTGGTTAGCGGGTATTTGCATGGCTCTACCTCAAATTTGGTTGATTGATGTCAACCCACGATTTCCATATACTTGTGATAATCGAGAAATTCATTACATATTTAATATCTTTTATTATTCATTGGGATTTGTTACTATTTATTTAATTCCATTCATCATTATGGCGTTATTTTATGCTAAAGTAATTTTATTTCTACGTTCATCTTTTGGAGTCAATCAGGATAAATTCAATTATCTGCAGCGGAAACAGGAAGAGCATAAGAAGAAGGAGATTGTTCACATGTTAATAATAGTAACAGTCTTATTTATGCTTTTAACCTTTCCCTTTGCTATCATGCTAATGATATTATCATTAATTGGTAAAACTCTAACTCGTATTATATTATATTCTCCACATTATGTTATATATATGATGCAGATTGCATATGGATTATCAATTATAGTTTGTTTGCAAAGTCCAGTCTGTTATATTATCTTTAATGCACAGCTCCGTCAAGATATGATTAGCTACGTACGACAGTGTTATTCATTTACAATCTTCAGAAAAGGGAATTTAGTTATGGTCACTAGTCACAACTCTGTTTAGTCAAAATGATAGCTTACTATTGCTATACAATGTAAATTATTTACTAACTTTACTGGCTTTTCTGTTATGGTACAACCCTCAAATAGATAAATAGATTGTAAGAAACCACTGAGTGATTTGTAAAGGTATAAGATTGACACTCTTATACGAGATCATAGATTCTCTGAAATCTCAAGATTGTATTAAGCGCATATCCGCGCTAAATAGTTACTGTAAATGTTGAAGGTTTGATTAGAAATATTTTATTATTAAGGTGGTTTGACGGAGTAAATGTTACGGTGTTACCTTACCGTTAGCATAGTTTGATAAGTACAGTAGTAGATAATATAGAAGATATCCATATTTGTACTAATAGGTAAGATAAGTAATATCTTAATTTGGATATTATTTGTGATAGTTTATTACATATTTGATATTAATTGTAATTGTGTGATGTATAGTGGTAAGATAATTCAAGTTCTAGTACTACCCACCGTCCCTTGAAACGAGCATCGCGGGGTTATTTATACTACTGTTAGATGGCTGTGATTATGGGTTCATTTCAATAGGTCAGTATAAGATTCTTACAGTAATTTTTACCTCAAGATTTCTTCATGTAAAACGAATAGCTCTAAGGTAGTAATTTCTGCAGAGTACTGATTATTAAAATAGTATTCGTTATATCGCTAAGGGTGGCCACTGGGCCTTTAAATTTTGGTTTCATGTAATATTCTGATGAAAATTGAATAAACATAGAATCTTTATACAGTTTTCTACATAGCCATTTTGATTGTTAAATTTTCTTATAAAGGTTGCTATCGACAGAGCAAGTTTTGCTTGCATACTCAAGCAATCCTTAGACATATTATAATGATAGGCATAGAATTGACCACAGTACTAAGGACATCGTACCGCACTGTAGATATCTTACAGTACCTGCTAATGTTAACTTGGTATGTCCATCACCGTACATTAGTTATCATAATGTGCTTTGGACCATTAACTAATCTTTATATAGCATTTCTGGTGATACTTGTATGATTTGTAACAGGCAAAGTTTCTATTTGTGGACTGATAAAAGCCGAAATTATCTTCACTGGAAACATAACCTGGAGCGCTCCATTGGCCCACTTGCGTCACTGGAAGATTGCGTATATAAATGACACAAACAGCTAGCCACAAAGTGAAGAAACTTATTTCTATAAGTATAGCCACGAATATTAACGTAATCAACTCGGAAACACATCTAACTTTCAGCTAGAATACGTAAAATCTTGATGTTATTAAGTGAACTTTGCAAGTAATCACGAGCACTTGATGAAATTGGAAGAGAAAGATGTAGGAAATTATAAGTTGACCACCAAAGGGTGCGGTCACTTAAATATTAGTGACGATTGTATGTATTCTGCATTTGAAGGTGGCTCATTCGATAGAATGTCCGGTTAATGCGTATATTTTTATGATTCACAAGAAGGTTGAATGCAAATGATCGATCAATATTCGGTTTGTGTGCATTTTCTAGCGAAAATGACTCAATTAGTGTCCAGGCATAACCAGGTTGTGAGTCAAAATCAAACATCCAGCTATAGCTAATCACTATATAAAGAGCCATATCCAAATTTGGATACAATTAACTAAAAGCGCTAAGCACTTTATTAATAAATCTCGCTCATTTTCGCTTACCAGATTCAGTAAATATAGAATATCTACATTATTGACGTACAAACTACTTATTTTACGACTTTACAAGTATACCAATTAAGTTAATATACGGTAATATCAGAATAAGTGAATAATCACATAAACTGTTATAAAATAGTTTTAAAAGTTTTATTTGGTGTTATATTAATGCAATAGCGGATTTATATCAGGCTCAAGAAGTTATGATTGTAGTAATCAACCTTATCTAAATTATGATAAGGCAATTTCGCAATTATTTATACATGTAATTACATGAGTAGTAAGTCAGCTAATATACAAATCAGGTAAAAAGAAATATAATAATCAAGAAATCAAAAGATAATAGCATAAATGCTATAATATAAAATACGTAAGCCGACGTTTTGCAACTGATAGAGAGAGGAGGAGTTAGTAGTTAGTTTTACAAAACTTGGACTAATAGTGCAAATTCCTGTCTCCAATGTTAGTTGACAGCAGTATGAACCTTTAATCAGTACGATAATCTGTCTGTTTCGTTAGTGTGCATTTTAAGAGCAGAATATAAATCTTCTCTCCACTTAAAATGCTACAATATACAAGTATTAATATTATTATCAGCGCATTAAAGAGAAAAATATTAGTCAATTTTTTCACAGTCTGCCAGTTAACTGCAGACATATATATGAGTAGTAAAGGATGATAAGGCTCGTAGTTTAATTATTGGTGCTTTAATAAGTCCTTGCGCTCTCAATTTGCAAAATTTGTGAGCTAAAATAAATAGCTTAAGAAAAAATTCAAGTAATTATAGACAAATTTGTTGGAAATTGAGCTAATGAGTGTAAATTATTACTGGGTTGAAGGAAACACAATTTCAAGATGAGTCATGCAGTAAAAGCGATCTTTGATAATATGAATTATTCCTAATCACTATACTGTCGTTTTCTCTAAAATCCTGAATTATGAATATGTTTGATCTATAGATAAGTTTTAGTTATTGCTAAACCGAAAATATAATTAAAATTAAAATTTCAAGTTGTTAATGTCTAGATTAGTTAGCAAATATTAGAGGCAAGTCGTGTAGTATTACCAAATTATAAATTGATAGTTTATGAAATGATTATTTCCCTTAATTTGCTATTGATTTAGCTTTAACATGGAATATTTCAGTATAAGATACCTCATTAATGGAAAAATAAGCTATTGTTATTATCTACAAATTGCATAAGTATGTTTTTAGTCAATTTTAGTTACAAATAGGATTTTTAGTACTTCATTTAGTCGCTTAAATTTGCTGGAAGTGAAACCGACTTCTTAGCTCGGAACAGTTTAGAAGTCTGCTGAGAGCTATTCTTATCTAGATAAGCAAATAGAGCGTAGCAATTTTGGTAATCTGACTTATTTTAATTCTTCATTCACTTTATAAAAACACGCGAAAAGTTTACTATTAGTTATCAGCATAATTTAATATATCATATCCTGTCAAAGATTGTAAAATTTATTGAATTACCAGCTAAACGAGAGACCAACCATGTAAACGGAACCTTTAGACTATCTTTTTCGTCGTATATTATTTCAAATATTTTTACTAAGAGGAAAAATTTCAATGTAATGGCGCAAGATTAGCATTTAAAATAATTTTATAGAAAAGCGACGATCTATTTATATCATTTTGGCTTTATGTTTATGTCAGCTACAAGTATAAATGATTTAATAAGCATTTCCAAGTACTGTCACCATCACATCTTGAACTATCATTTCTAATACCCTTCATTAATGTTAAACTCATGCAATACCCTTTGAAGTATATTTAGACTTCACTGCAGTCTTTAGCTCACATTCTTAAATATAGATGTTTTATATTGTACCGAAAATAGATAGCTATACAATCTATTTCTACTATACTCAAATATAGCTTGTCATGATTAGTTATTTATAGCACCTATAGTCTTCGCTGTTTTCTACAACCATTTGCTGTTACTCAGTCTGTTTATGGCAAATGTCATATTCAATTCTACTATCGTGTTCTCTGCATGTGATCTATCGCTTAATCTATAAATACTGATGATTTCTGCCTCAGATTTGTCAGTTACACTATTCGTAGCAAAAGTACTTCCTTACGTTACTCCACGACAGCTTACACGCTGATCTAACGTAACTACCGCATTGTACCTCCATTTCTATCTATAATAAAGCATTCACTTTATCAAAACCCCTTGCATATTTTATGTGAATGCCTACTAAGTCAGCAGTCGCTGATTCTTCGAACCTTCCATCATATCCTTACCTTTACAGTCTCTTGAAGATGAATTAATCGAACTCTTTGAAACCTGTCTCTGATGTGATAAATCTGATTTCGTACCAACAATAAGCATAGGCATCTAATAGATATTCACATAATTAATTGAGATCAATTACAATAAATTAAATTGAATTATTAAATAAAAGTTATACTATGGCTTAAATAATCTTACATCATTTCCCCTGATTTTAGCTGTTTCTGTTTTTAATCTTTTAGCAAGTTCAAAGGAAGCTATGGAATCAAGGCTAAAAACAAATATCGCTGCCTGAAAAGTAAATCAAACATTTGTGCAATTGTAAAGGAATGAATGGTCACTTTTATTTTTTAAATCGATTTCTACTTTTAAATTAAATAATAGATAAAAATTATAATATTGAAATAGTAATTAGCTATTCTGAAGCTCTGATGACAACAATCCAGAATAATTTGTTATTACAAAGTCAAGATTTAAGGCTGACCCGGAAAAATGGCTTTAAATATTGACTCCCTACTCTCGATTTTAAACTTCTTTTACTACTTCAATAACTACAGCGTTAGTCTTTCTATTAGTGTTTCTCTTACAACATCATATGTTAATTACTAAACAGAAGCCATTGATTAATAATATATATCATACACAGTACTGAAATACATACGCGTATATTGTATGGTACTCAGTGAACAAGTCCAGCCAATATCACGAGTAGCGTGTTCGACTAGTAATTGTAACTTAATATATGACTGACTGTAATCATGCTTATTTTTCTTGAAATTTCATCGTTCAAAATAGTAAAAAAAATAGTGCTTAACTACAATAACGTAACATAATTGCCAAATCCCATCAAATTTTTCTTACGTCAGCTGTTGCTAAATAGTAATTTGGTACGGACGAGGTTTCATCGTCCTAAAAAGGAATATAATCCGCTTCATTAAAAATAAATCGGCTGCCGATGGCAACATTTTCTTCAAATCAATATTGCAATAATTACTGATACATTGCTACACTAAAATTTTATTACAGTAAATAATGTTCAGATCAATCAATTATAACATCTACAATATCTTTGATTGCAGAAAGCACCTTAGCCAAATAGATAAAAGCTTACTGATTTCTTAACATAGCTTAGATGGTATTATAATTCACGGATACTTATTAACAGACACTGGTGCAAGTAGTTTATTAAATTGCAGGGTGAACTATAACTTAAAAAATTACAGTTTACTGTAGCTATTTAACAACTCATAAATAAAATGACTTGAATAGCTCACCAGACCACCGGTGTCAAATAAACTGATTCGTTCTTTAATTCCTCGATCAGATTCTAGTATAATGTCATAGATATCTTCAATAGTAGTATAAGGTTCCTAATATATTAACAGAGTATCGCAATGTTAGTATACACATATTAGACATTCAGCTATTCCATAAAACAGCTTATTTGCGATATATTCTGTATACTATATAGTCAAGGATAGAGCTCAGTTTAATCTTTGTATGGCTTGGTTGAAAAGATTTTCTTTCCCTTTATTAAATATACATATAGTAATAAAACAAACTCGAAGACTTACTCCATTGACTACGTTTGAAAAAAATTCTGGTAAATAAAAGGAGTGTACATCGATGCTTTCACTGTAATAAACGATAAATATCTGCCCCAATGTAAGCCATGTAATAATGCTTGTACTTAACCTAAATTTTGTAATTATTAGAATGAACTTTAAGCACGTTGCTTCACTAATGATTTATCATATTGTGCCATGATAACCTATAATCGGCCCAATTTCTTCTTTTAAAATTATGCTTAACTAATGAAAAATTCTTGCTAAGTGCGGTAACAAAACATCTCTACAAAACTTCTTTACTGTAACAGTGTGAATAATTTTTTTGTTTCTGTTGTTACAGTATTTAAATTCGACAAATAATATAAATCTTAAACTAATAATAAGTAGAATAAAGGAATTATGAGATTGTAATCTAATTCCTTTAAACATGGCGAACAATAATACAACAATCATTGATTAATGAGAGCATAAAGGCCCATTTTCTGGCTTTGATATCAACCAACATTCAGTAATTGCAATTGCATATACTTTTTGTGTATCTGAAGATGATTTTATGATCAAATAAAGATAGTTAATTAAATTTATTTATTGCTAATTTATACAGTGGAACGATCATGCGTAGTGCCTTGAATTTGGTTGCAAATTTATCGTTGATGGAAAAATAAAATGTCAAAGGTAGAGAGTAATAGAAATACGTTAATAAACGTTGTGTACAATGTAACACTATACATAGGCTTAGCAATGAGATCAACTTTTAAATGTCAATTACTACGGGCGCATTCAAAGGATAACTATGCTGGAAGTTAAGCCATTATTTAAGGGATTAGTAGATACTATTACCGTAGTAATGGCTTCTTAGTCTAACAAACCGGTAGTAATTCATTACAATCATGTCATCTCTTGAGACTTCTAGTTTGGAGTTGGGATAATAACGAACCATTCCGCTGCATTATTCATGAAATAGGATAAAATATATACTTGATACTCTTTCCATCTGCCAACTTACTAAAAGACATATTAGGTTCTACGTGCGATATCTCAACTTAAAATCATATTGTTTATAAGCCTGAAAAGAAATACTAAAACCCAAGGTAAAGTAATTTGCTCCAGAAACTATGCGATCATTTGTAATGGCTTAAAAATTAAAAAGAAATAACGGAATCGAAAAAATAAAGCACAGTATATCACCACAAGATGAAAACGAATCAATTTCTTTTCTAAAATTTTCAGAAGATACACAAACTATCTACATAACAGAATTTACAAGCACAATCCCAACTCTATCAGGATTGCCTGACTTAGATGGACCGCAGAAATTGGGATTATTAAAAACATTAGTACCTTAAGTTAATGAAAAATTAAGATAGGTTCCTGATCCATCATTCGATTCCCAGAACAAAATAAATTAACTTTCTTAAAGCTCGTTCACAATAAAACTGAGATGAACTAGAACGGTCCATCAATCCTAAGCAGACAATGCAGAAACAAAATGAATAGCCCCATGTGCATGTATTAAAACTGTTCTCGCTAAATATTCGATTATAGGTCCAGTATACCATCACTCCTGAATTATTAAGACAGAGAGAGACGGCTACTACGATCTCATCAATCTAGGGAACAAATAAGAAAATATTTTCTCCTCTTTCCTTACATTCTACCATTTTTTGTTGCCAATAATAAGATTGAGTCATGCTTCGCTAGTAAAATCATGGATATTAGCATGTAATACCACTCCTCAAAAGACATCAGTAATTGTAAGACTTAATTAAAATGATATACATGAAATCATTATCCATTATTCTAAGGGCTTTCATACTTTTTTCAGAAAGTATTTGAAGTTCTATCCCTTCGTTCACTATAGGAGTATCAAGTGCTAAAGTACCCCTGATTCTATGTATTATCGGTATATTAGCACTAAGCCTGGGAAGCTGCTGCTAATTTTATTTATGGTTTAAGCTTGTAATAATTGCACCTAATTGTAATGTAACTTAGTATTGTGATTGTAGACTGTTAGCCATGTGTAGTATAATGTACGGTAGATATTTATCCTAAGAGATATTTGGTAGCTGTAACTATAGACTGTAGTGGTAGAGACTCTATGCTAGAGTACAGATGACTATACACAGTAAGCTGTTGAGTTACTAATATGGCTATAGGTAGAAATAGAACTGTAAATCATATATTAGGATATGGTTAATTCATTGTACTTTGGCTGGTGTGAATAATGTCTACGTAAGTACTGTAGTCGTATCCATATTGGATTAATGATGGTCCGCAGTAGAATAGTCTTACTAAGAATAATTTAACTATGTGTAAAATAAGGTAAAAGGTTGCCATGCGGATTGTAGCTGCGAATGCTACGAAAAGTATAAAAGCATGCAACTTTAGATTATTCTGTTAGTTCGTTGTAGAAGTCTTTAGAAGTAGTATTCGGCTAGAGTAGAGCTGTGTAGTTAATCTTTGTATAAGATTCAATAAAGCCCTTATTTTTCTAAAATTTGGAATTTCGTGATTGGTATATATCACACTAATGAAAGTGGTTTTTAGAATATGCGTACGTATACAGCTGTATAGTTATGGGAATTGTTAACGTATTGGATGATGCTGAGCTGATGAATTTAACTTTCTTACTATTTCATTAACGAATGTTTAAAATGTTCTATACTGTAATACTCAAACATACAACAATTATCTTTTCAGCCAAATACGCTTACATTTATATGACAACAGTTTACTGTAAATTACTCTCTTAGCTGTCGCTAATATTAATTATAACCGCATAGTACGCTATATCAAAAGTCACGAATGAAAATGAAAAATCAGCTTATCAATAACTACCCTCGATCTTAAAACACAAAATATGAGGAAAATAGAACATGAGATTGTATTAAGTACTTCACCATATTTCCACCTTCTAACCTGACTAATAGATCCATGAATTAACAAATCGATCATCGAAGTCTTGCCAACACCATGGCCACCAAATACATAGATCTTATGGCGTTTTGGCATAGTGGCAACCTAATTTATAAGGAAGCTACCTGATAGCGTCCTAATGCATTTTACTATGATAAATAACTTTAAATTGAGTAGAAATGCGTTTCTTCATTTCATTTAACATCAAATCGATGTTTTTCATGTCTTAAATATGTCAATTGAATATTAAATACCCCTCCAGCCCATACGACATAGACAATAATAAGTCGCAGCAAACTGTATTTTCTACCGTATCTATTGTTATTTATAATTAATGAAATTTACTTGTATTATTTAATATTAATTATCTCCTCAAAAGAGTGCATAGATGTACTAAATTTTCTATTGTTAGATCCAAGGCCAATAATAATATACTATTGAATAAATGTAAAGTAAACGACATGGCAACGCCTAATCATATCGGTATCAGTAATAAGCTAATTCTTAATCACGTAACATCCATATTTTTTAATTCAAAGACAATGTATAAGGCAAGCGTCTCTTTTTTATAAGACTTAGCCTAATCAATTAAATAACACAGTCCAAAGCCATGTTAGCAAATACTTTTACAGTAAAATAGTCTGCATGGTTCTGGCACAAGCCTTATGAATGATTAATAACCAAACTAATTTGCTAAATTAATTACAAACTCGAATGCAAACATCGAATTTCTTTATGATGGCAAACATCCTTTTAATTAGAATTACTATGCTTTCTCGATTATGGAGGAATACAGTTATATCAAAGGCAGAAATATTGAATAGAAGTTTATAACATAAAACATGTTTTCCTGTAAGAATGACGATGTAAGCTTGTCAACATTCTTGAGCCACAACCGTAACTAGCAGGAACTAATCATGCATCATTGATATTGTATAATACAGACTAGAAATAATTAATCTTTTTCGCTATTATGCTAGCTCCAAGGATAATAATATGAACATACAAGTGAAATAAATGCTGTATAACGATGCAGTATAGCGATATTGCAATAACTAATTATATCGATATCGGTAAAGTCTGACCAATGATCATGTAATAGACGAATTTCGTAATTTAACGGCAATGCTCAACTCCAGCTTCATTTTTTATTAAATTCTGAATCAGATCAATGAAGCCTAAAGGCTACAGTCATGTTAACAACACTTACAATAACCTACTTAATATTGGTGCAAGCCTTATGAATGATCAATGATCAATTCCATTTTCTAAATAATTACCGAGAAGGTTCCGTACACCATTTTCACTAACGTCGAACAATCTATTACGATTAATATGCTTTGTAAATTAGGGAACAATTCAGTTATGTCAGAGGTAGGGAAACTGAAAGGAAACCACAGTAAATAAAGCTAAAACACTTTTTTGCATGAGAATGGTGCGGCATATCTGTTAGCATTACAGATCATATGCAAATATACCATTAATTACTGCATGCATAGTTGATACTAATTAACATAAAATATTAATAGCTAGTCGTACTCGTAAAATAATTTTATCAACCAGTAATGGCGTAATCTAGCAATAGAGCCTGCATGATAAAGATAAATTGTTTTGACTAGTTCAATATATTACATACCTGTCATTTCTAATATTACTAGAAAAATTTTTGCAATGGTTCGTAGCCGGATATAAGAACTTAGAATGTAGGACAATGAAAAGTAGGTGCTTGATGTATCGAATAAGATGCCAAACAATGAAAATATTATAATTATAAGAACTACCGTACATCTTTTCCTAATCAAATCTAAAGTATCATATAGATTTCAACCTCGTATAATACTCATAGATGTTCCTTGCGAGTCAGTAATCATCAATCAACATTGGTCGATAATGATATGCAGTACACAAATTTTTCATCTACTAATTTAGGTACCGTAATATATAGATTTGAAGTATTTGATCATGCAAGATAATCACGCCCTTAGAATTAACGCTTATACGGTAAAAAATATACTCAGTATTAGATAAAATGATGAAAGTAATATACGTGCGGTAATGTACGAGTATTAGATGCTATAGGAGGATGATATACGAGCATGTATAAGGTTATAATTAAGATATCAATATAAAATAAAATCCGGAATTTTTTATTGAAAGCGTGTAGGTAAAAATAATTAAAAATTGCCAATACAGCACAAACTATATTATGGAATAAATAAAGGCTAGACATTCAATCGATCAATGCAGAGTAAAATTTTATCAGCAAGCTACCAAATACTAAAAGAATTAGCACACTATGACCTAATATTACATCAAAAAGATTTGTTCCAAATCACAATCACACAATTTCATCCATAAAAGATTAAAGCTATGAAACAGCTGATTCAAATTTTTTTAATATAATAAAGAAACCACTAATAAATCGCTAAAGAAGAGCATCCTTAAAATTGTGCTGCATTTATTACTATATGATTAAATTTAAGTAACACGAATACCGAAATTGGATCAACTAACCGGTATCTTAAAAACAAAATCTTAAAATTAGTAGCATATGGAATCAAATTTATCGGACGATTAGAAATATTAAACTGTAACAGTAATAACCGATAACTGTAGTCATTTAACTAATTAGCTTTAACACATTCGTCCATTAACCACCTTTACTATATAAATTCATCAGAAATTCGAAATTTTCTAATTATAGGATCGCAGTACTGACATACGTCAGGATGATCATAACGCAATCCAAGTATCTGCAAGATAGTTAAAGATTGCTAAGATTACCACATCGAACAAAGTTCAGACTATTCTGACTCGTAAAAAATTTTTAAAACCGCTATTCTAAATTATAGCGTAGCTAAGACTGTTATTATTGAATGGATTACTATTTATTGTGTTATATTTTGAATTTTGAACTACAATCATGATCCAAAGTTAAATGAGCAAGGAATATTAAAACTTGGAGAACAATAAGCCGATTCGAATTTACAAAGCGTACCTAACAATTAATTGAAACTTTTAATCGAATAAAATAATGGAATCACATCAGTACCAGGATTATCCTAAAAACGATCTTAAGCACTATACGATAGCCGATCCGTTTCTATTTGTTCATGTTACAATTGGGTTGCTACTTGTCTGATGTTGGGAATAAGAGATACTCCAAATATTAGTGGGGCAAATTACCTTTATTTTCCCATGGGTGTTTAGACGCTAATCGACTTCACACTAAATATATACATGTACATCTTCGGATATAACCACTGATCAGTGATCTAAAATGCAGCCTGATGACTGACTAAGACAAACTCTTCGCTACAGTATATCAGTACAATATATGGCAAAATCTAACAAAATCACAAGAGCTTAAGAAGACTGTAATGATTTCAGCTAGTTACACTACTTATATAAATCAACAGTTGGTAGTTGAAACTTAGTATTGGATTGTAGACTAATAGCCATGTTTAGTATGATGTACTGTATAGTAGAATTCTATATCCATCTAAAACCTTATTTAGTAGCTCATAACCATAATATGTAATTAAAGATTCTACGTTACAATATAAATGACTATACACAGTAGCATGTTAAGTCACTATTAAAGCTAGAGGTAAAAGTGGATATGTAACTCATATAGTATATTAGGATATGGACAGTTAATTGAACCGTAGTACTGGTGGTCCAAAAAAATAAAATTTTACTAAATTAGATTAAAACTACAAACAATTGAAGTCCAAACAAAATAAACTAGACTTTTCTTGTCTTCTCTAACTTCAACTGCAATAAATTACCGAACTACGCCACCTTTTATATGCTACGCAGAGCAGTTGGTGGTATTAGACTATCCAACTATCACTCTAATGTAATCCAAATTAAACTAGCAATCAAACACACATGATAAGATAATTTATACCCTAGACTCCCGAAACTACTAAATTAATACTAAGTATAGTTTAGCTTGAAATTATACGTTTCTACAGTGCACACTAAGACAAAATAATAATCTCAGTCAAATGTTTTGGGTTCATACTGCATGAAATTACAAAGCAACATTAACTTCTACTGTAATTAATGATCAAAATTAATACACACATATTCTATTAACTAAATATATCGCTTGAATTATAAAATCATAATATTTGATTCTCAATAAAAATCATGCTATGGATTATCTTAACTTCTAACCCGAATAAAGCAGTCGGGTTTACGATATACTAAGATTCTAAGTAAAATCCACTATTATTGTAGTGAGATATCGAACCCTCCATCACAATTATAATCAACCAAATAAGTCATAATTTTAAAGTTAGAATGCTTATCACGATATAAAAACTAAGCTAGAATAATTGCAATGCAAGAACTTGAGGAAAATTCTAAAAATTATCCTTCATTACAGTACTTTGGCTATTAAAACCAACGTCTACGTAAATACTGTAGTAATCATGTTGAATTATAGATGGTTTGCTGCAAAGTGTTGTTACTAATAATAATCTGAATAATTGTAAAATAGCGTAGAATCTTGCGATGCGGACTGTAGCTATAAATATTGCGATAAGCATTTACGTAGGCAGCTTTTATATTATTCAATGATTCTGTCTAGAAGTCTTTCTAGTAGTTGTATTATGCTAGAGAAGAGCTATGCGTAGATTATCTTCGTACAGTATAAAGATCTAATAAAATTTTAATTGTTTGCGAATTTTCGAACTTTGTAATCGGTTGTATCACGGTACCTCGCAAAGTACGAAAGCATCAACTAGCTACTGTCGTAATATAACCTGATATACACGCGATAATGTATTACATTCTATAGGAGAGTGATATATATGCAAGATTGCAAATTTGATATCGGTATAACGTAGAACCTAGGATTTTTATTGAAAACGTGTAGAGAGAGAGATAATTAAAATTACCAATACAAATAGTATAATAGAATAAATGAAGGTCAGATGTTCCATCGATGTAGCTTAAGTAAAATTTGTAAGCAATCTACCAAATTTAAAAGAATAAGTACTCTGAGGCCTTCTAGTGTATCAAAAATATTAATACCAAATAACAAGCACAAATTGTACCCACGAAAGACTAAAGGTACGAAACAGCCAATTCAAATTATTTTAATATAAAAATGAAATTACTAACAAATCACCAAAGAAGAGTATGCTAAAAATCATATTGCACTTACTATTAAGATACTAAATTTATGTATTATGAGTACTAAACATAAAAAATAAATTTCACTGCTCACGCCCAGCCGGCATTTTTGTGGAGCAGTGAAAATATCGGACGACAAGAAAAAAGTAAACTATAACTATAATTACCAATAACTAAGATCGTTTAATAAATTAGCACTAGTAAATAAGTCCATTGGCTATCTATATGAATTCATCAGAAATTCGAAATTTTCTAACTGTAGGTTTTCAGTGCTGACATACATCAGAATGATTATAACGCAATCCAAGTATCTGCAAGACAGCTGATGATTACTAAGATTAGATTACAATATCAAACAAAGTTCAAACTATCCCGACTCGACTTGTAAAGAAATTTAAAACCGTGATCCTAACTTATAACTTACTTAGATTAAAAGTCCGCTTCTGTAAGCCTTTTATTATCCTAAATAACCGAATCACATATTGCCTTCAGTAATCCATAAAATTCAAATTAACTGATCGATTCGAGAAAATTAAGAAATATATTCAAAACGCCATTTAAGGACCTTATCTTTTTCGCCAGCCCTTGTTGCTGCTCGATGAAAATCATCAGTTGCAAACACTTGTGTGCCATTAGTCTTTGTGTATATACAAGATTTATATATTAATGTACTTTCAAATTTTGCAATCAAACAGTTTAAAGAATACAAATGTTCCAAAATTACTATTGTACTTAAAATACCTGTGCCGATTTCATGTCAGAATTTGAGCGTATAGAATCATGACCGTTATCATCCATGTGTTCGTTATCATGGCTATTAAGAACGTATAAATCAGCTATTAGTAGAATCGCTGGGCGCACAATCTAATAACCGATACAGGTACTCTGCCCGTAGAAAAACTAATTAAATTACAATGCTATAGTTTCTGTGAGTTTAATAAATTTTTTAATTGTCAATTTTGAAAGTGCTAGTGATTTACATGGAAAGTAGACTCATTTACAATTGCAGTCTTAATAACAACTTTGTAGTATTAAGGATGACATGTACGATATTGATTTATTATAGTGAAATGGCTTGCATTAAAAGCAAGCAGAAGTGGGATAAATAATTACTATTCTCACCCCGTAATAGATGCCTTATAATATTCATTTCTTCCCTCTTCATTAATGGATATATTTTCCACCTGAGAATTCCGTATTAAATAGAAGCAACTTTATAATTTAACTGCTGAAGTCTTTTTTAATTGCCACATCTGTTCTATTTAGATCTATTCGTGATGATCGAAATAGCCTTAAAATTTCTTAGTTTTAACTACTTATTTCAATTTCACTTATTACCCTAATTTGTCTATTTTAATAAAAGACAGTAGTGTGTCCATATATTTTAAGTTATGGGCTTTACTGCAACAATATGCTGTTAAAGAAAAACTATCTATCAACAGGCAGTCTTACTGTATATTTACCTGACAATTAATGCAGCAGTAGAAAACGAAGATCAATATACCCTATAAATTAAAAAGTATTATATTTATGTTATAGCTCGCATTAACGTTATAAGCTGTCAAAAGAATTTTAATAAGAAAAAGAAGTCTAGAATACAATTAGAATAAAAGCTTAAATAGTGTATACAATTATTCATCACTTATTCTTAAACCGCATATAATACAACTCTATGATCTTTATCTGATCTTAATAGATTAAATACCTGCAACATTGAAGCTATTGCAAAAACATATTGCAAATCTGTACGCTGAAGGATAACAAGAGCTGCAAATGTTATCCATCCGATACCGAATACTGGTAGTAAAAGAACAGGCGCATACTTGCTCCTTCTGTAGAGATTATGAAGCAACAGCAATGTTACTTGACTGCACTTCAATCACAAAACCTAATTAACTTTGAGTCTATCGTTTAATTAAATACTATACAATGATCATTCAAATTTATGAAACTTATTTTAATAATCTCTTTAAGAAAACCGACAATTGTGCTTTTCAATTGACAGAAAATTTCTTAATTTATAGAGAATTTTTAAATCTCGAGGTGTCAAAGAAATATTTATCCTCCGAGTTCAATACAACTTATTCAACACAATAATAGGACTCTTATAATTTACCTTATATTCATAATTCCAGCGTTATTGGCTGTTCGATCGATATTTAGTTTCTGATTTCTTTTAGAATCAACTTGAGTAGATCTAAATACCACTGCAGCGGTAAGCTAAAGTTTGTATTAAGATGTACGAAGATGAAGTTACTCTCATAAACTAGCATTGTTTCTGTTAAACTATTTTACAGTATACATCATATTATTGAATTTCTGTACAGATTAATGAAATCTTCATCCAAGCAGAAAAATTAAGCTTAGACTATAAAAAGTGTTACTATATCATTCATAGGTGGTTACAATTTCAATATCCACCATGTGAGAACGTGATGGGGTAACTATGTTGCAATCTGCAGGGGCTCGTTATCTGGCCATTCTGCTAGAAGTACTCCAGCTACAGTTCCTTTCTCGTTATTACTACTAACAACTGTTACTTGACCGCAGTTAAATCTAGGAAGATTCTTTATTTGTACTTTAGATTTGTAAACTGAAACCAACAATGCGCCTTCCTCGAGGCACTGATCCTAAAAACTGCCGAATAGTTACTTGATACTGCCCTTATATACTCATAATCCAATATGTATCAATGAGCATACGATACAGTGGTTATGACTGCACGCCATAATTGCCCTATACTACTTCCACCGCTAGAAATAAAATCGTGATAAGCACACGCATAGCGGTACTAACAGTAATTATGACAACCAAAACATTCAGAATTACAATAACCTATCATGGTACTCAGATTGTGGTCGTGGTATTGAAAATTTAGTTGGCAGTATTTCACAATGGCAGTATTACTCACAAAACTAAGTCGGATATCATGATTAATTTAGAGAGTCACACTATAGTGAACTTACTAATATCATAACACCAATCGGAATGACATAAGCTAGGAAGATAGGAGGACTTGTAGACAACCAACATCTGAGATTAAAAAGAACGAGTATGTATCTGATTTTAGTAACATGATACACAAACTAGAGTAGCTTGCAGCATTAGTATTAGATTGCTCATCTTACACTTGACCATTCAGATAAAAGTTGATTCCTTTGATAGCGACAGTAATAACAGCTGTAAGAATAGCTAACAACCCAGGCAAGACTAAAAAGTAGAGTAAAGCAATAGGATAAGAGCTGGAATAAGAGAATGGTTACAATTATTGACTGAAGATTTCTTATAATAATTACAAGAATGATTACGAAATTATTTTCGTATATTGATATATTTATTTAGACCTTTCCAATTGATTTCTTAATACCTTATGTGGTTATTTTAAAACTGTTAAATGTGCGCTAGTTTATAATTGATCGTATATTCTTTAATGTCAACTTACTAAAGCCAATGGCCATAAAGGGACTAAACCCAAACTTGCTATCAAATCCATTGGTTAATAGTTTATAGATATATATTTGTTCTACTAGTTGCCAGCTGAATATCATCAAAATACTTAAATGTAGAGCTACTGATATAGCAACACACAATGGCTAGAAATATGAAAACAAATTTTTGTTAGAATAAATAAGGTCAAAAATTTTAGTTTTAAATGCACCAAAATTTGTTCATTGCTAATACGTAATAGAAGTTTCTATTCCTTTACCTTATGCTGTATCTGTATCAGGCCAGATATAACCAAAATATGACTGATCATCACCGACAAAAATAGATTTATCCTAATGACGTCAAGAGTGCGGGAAAATTGCCTGTATCGTAGATGAAAACATTAAAGATAAGCTATCAATGCCTCACTAACATAAAATATTGTTATGAAATTATTCAAGCAAAATAACTATAATGATCAAGATTGAAAGCCGCTATAAATATAGTACTATCAGATACCTGAACCATTTACGAATGAAGTGATAGAGAGTTTTTGTCATGAATGCAAATTTACTACAAATGCACTATTTTTATTTGAGAATGAATTGGAATATATTATATATCATTTGAGTACTTAGTATATATCAATAGTATCAAAAATGCAAATAAACTTAGTGTTTGTATCAGTAAATCTATAGAATTTTACTTATGCCCAGGAGTAAGTAAATATTTACCCAATTGCATTGCTATCATTGATACATTCGTTACTTATATGTCTAATTCTGATCTCCTGCGACATACCTAGTTCAACTATTTTGTAAGAATATCCTAGAAATATGCCTTACACTTACCTCCAGAAAATACAACATGTGATTAGCGCTAATAGTGCACACAAAATAGCAATACCACAACCAACGTATGTTATTACGTGCAAGGTAAACGATGATGACGGTTCCTAGATCAAATTTTATAATATGCATCTGTAATACTAAAGTACTGATCGATTGTCAAAATACATACAGTATGTTTAAGTGTAAATTTGCTCTTAGTGGACTAGTCGAGCATTATTTTAGTATAATTTATGTGATTTAGAACTTACAGTTTGATTCGATATGATTAGTAGTGATGTGAATGTAGTCATATGATTGCAATAGCATACAGTTTGGCTAGCATTAGATTCTGGCCCTACTCTGCAACCAGCGGAAGACCACTTGCAGTTGCTGATTGCAGAACAAACAGAGTATATTAAATTGATTCTATTTGAAGGTATTTCTTACACTACGATATTCATACAGATCGTGTGGCAATAAAATCTTGTCAAAGACAAATGTGTTATACATATAATACTTTGAATTGCTACATATTACTCAAAATAATCTTCTCAAGTTACTTATAATATTAAGTAATCGTATGGTAAGCTACAGTATATACTTTATAAAAATAAGCTATAGATCTAATGTCTATCTACAATATCACTAAATAAATTTATGGCGTTGGCTTTGTTATCGAAGTGGGGTTTTTCCGAGAAATAAATGATATTTCAAAATTACAAACAGATAAAGTGCGTTTACTCTATTACTGTAATTAAGAACAAAGAGTTAACATTTATTAATCGCTTAACCTATATACCAAGTTTAAGCAGGATTAATAATTAAGTTAGTTATTAAACTTACAAGTAGCTTTAAATTACCTTTCAGAACAATCCCAATAAGTACATTGGCTTTGCAGTGAGTTATTTTCATTAGCGATTGCCTATTGACGAAAAGATGCATAAAATTTCTATTCTATTGTTATAAATATCTACATAATTACCCCTCTATCGCTAAGTTTTTTATAATTTTTCCGTGGTAAATTAGTATAATATGTTCTAATAAAAGTCTAATTATAGAGCTGACAAACTCTGCTAACATAATTTGTAAAGTTTGGATAATGTCGACTACAACATTATACAAATAATTTAAATGTTAGATAAAATGAACATATACCCGTATATCCTATCATTCACAATATAATTAACCAATATACTAAAGATCAAAGTACGATTTACATTTTTGTTGGATATAGTAAACCTAAATTCTGATGGTAGTGGTGTTGGTGGTTTAGGTTGAAAAGAAATGGAAAAAACTTTGGAATTAATGACCACTCGCGTAATATCGGTCCTGTGATAATCATGATTTATATACATGTTAGAATAAGTTAACATATTTTTAATAAGAAATAATTACCTATGCAATCATGATGTAATGTATATTTACACTAGAATAACTTGAATTTAAGTTCGTGTTATTGCTGATTAAAATGGAATCAATCTAATCTAACTTGTAGGGTACTAATTTGCCGTAATCTCCAATTATTTAGAATATTTATTTATTCTGCAGTTAAAACGGTAGAAATTTCAAAACCTGTTATTGCCAGTCGCGGAGGGAAGAATTCTATCTAGCGATGTATAGCTTGTTAAGGTAATTTTATCGTCTATTATAAAGATAATACGAAACGGTCAAGAAATGACGGAATATCATAGATTTTTAACTACCGCAATGATAATAATCAATTACGTTATTACAATAGACTCTTTGGCAATAATTTGATATTAAAACTGCCAAGTGCACATGATAATAAATAATTAATTGTACAACCGATGCTTACAATTTTTTCTTTGAAATAGTTCCTTAGCCAATGAAATTACTAAGTTATCTGACGAACTACTATCTGTATTAGCTGTTGAAGTCGATAACTCGAAACCAGAAGTTGTGGTTGTATTTGTAACTTTGTATACCTTTAACTCTGTTCATATTAAATTTAGAATTTACTATTCCGAGCGAATATTAAAAACTGGATTATTTTAGCTAAATGCTCTAGAAATTGATATACCTCAATAAGATTTAATATCATTTAATCAATATTCGCAATATAAATTAAAAGCATAGTGCGATGAAATTTAGTATTTTTAAATTTAAAGTACGGCACGTGTTCTCTATTAAATGCTATTGCTTTTGTTAAACCTATACAAGCTAATTTTATTTTATTAGCCATACCTAATACAGGCGTTGATATAACGAATTCGGTAGTATTTTCACTTAAGACGACCTTGTCAGCCATATTTTCTAGTACGTCCATTATAGATGAGTTTCCTTGAACCGCCTGATCCAACTATAGTTCACAATATTTCAGTTTCAAAATAATTAAGAATAGCAAAAATTAAATTCAAAATTATTAAGATTGCTAATATTTTCGCCACTATACTAATAGCACAGTAATATATATATTCGTTAGCTATGACAACTTTTAATATCCACCTCACCTGTTGTGAATCCTTCAGTTGATTAGCATTACTAGCATTAAGTAATTTACTTTGAACCGTCGCAAATTTCTAAGTATAGATATCAAATTTATAAATCAGACTTAGGTTTGTTTTTATAAAAGAATATACATAGCGAAAGCAAATACGACAAATTATAACGCTAATAAAATGTATGTGATTCTTGATAGCTCAAACACAAGTTAAGATATTTGAAATCATACCTATCCGTTAAAATTAGTATTAGAAGAAATGCTTCGCATTAAATTGAATAAGTTGTGTAGGAACTGTACTATAACTGATCAAATTTCAACCAAAATTCTCGTAAAGGTCTTACTTCACATATTGCTCAAGCTTAAATATCCTACTAGTCGGTTTTACGTTAATACTACAGTCAAATATTCAGCCAAAAAATTAATTCCTCTCGTACTTATACGCAATATTTAATTTTCATGCTTATCAAAAATGTGTAAAGATTTAAAGCTAATGACGGATAGTTTTACTCTAATCTCATAGTGTCAGCATATTTACAAACCAGAAAAAGATAATACTCTCGTGCTAATACAGCATAGCTAGTAACAATAAATAATAAATTGAATCAATACCTAGAAATATAGATCATAGAAAATAGGACATACCTCTAGTAAAGACGGAGTTACAGTATTAGAAACTTGATTGATTTTAGCCAAGAGATTTATTGCTACCTTCATATCGGCTCCTTTTAATCCTGACGTTAAGCTGATGGCATTATCAAGTTTATTAATTGCAACTTGTGTTCCATTTTGTCCCTCCTTGTCTAAGGTATTACTCTATTTCGATTAACACAATATATTAGACTGTTATACGTTATTATTTATTAATCACTGAATGTATTAAACAATTATTTACGTAAAGTTAAGTGCAATTTGAATAAAAATGTACGCTACAATATTTCATGACATAATAAAGTAACTACAATACCGCACCGTGTTCGAGATAGCTTCAAATTGTGGCGATAAACAATTTGCTGTATTAATTCGACTCCAAACTTGGTGAGTACTGTTAAAGCTATTGCAGATACGCGATGCTGTTCCTAAAATAGAATAAAGGCAACGTTGGATTCAACTTACTATAACGATAACCAGTCTGTTAGAAATTGATAATAAAGAAGTAATGAAAATACTGCGTGTAATTATATTAATTAGCTAGAATCTAAAATTATACAGCAATATATTATATATAGTTAGAAATAGAGTATCACTTATGATAGTCTCGGCTAAGGAATAAGAAATTTCTTGCCATTTCTCCTATTAATTATTAACAATAGACGAAGATATGATATATAAACGAATTGAATTTTAACAGAACCTTGTGAAGGTGGTGGACAAAACGCAGTTGCTGTTTGTCCTGAAAATGTCTTTGGCCAACGAATATCAGCTTCAATTATTGCATTGCAGTAGCTATCAATATTGTTATCTAAATATTCAAAAAATTTCCGCCAATCAACAATTGAAATACAGAAATAATTAATTTTAAAATATAAACGAAATTCCACTCTAGAATTTATTATTATCGACCACGATATTACTATACCGTTAACAATGACTTGTGCTGCATCCGTTGTAGTGAAATTTTTTATATTAGAGATATTACATCGATAGGTGCCAGAATCGACCAAGGCTGCTTTATAAATGGTAAGTGAACTACTATTCGATATCCTCCGAATAGTATATATCGATCCTACTTTTTGACCATTTTTCAGCCACTCTATTGTTGGCACTGGCTCGCCATAACCTTCGCATCGTAGTGTGATATTAGAATCAGCTACTGTAGTGATACTCTGGGGAGATACTAAGACCTCAGGCGAGACTAGAAGTAGTTAAATATTTGTTGGCAAAATAAGTAACAAAATATACCATGTTATTCGTACGCTACATGATATTAGACATTCATGAATATTTGTCAAGACCAACTTATGCTAAGTATAACTTGAATACGAATAAGTAGCCAAGTATAAACATATAAAGATAACTAACCTGCATCAAATGTTTGATAAAATATTGGTGTACTATAGGGCCCAAATCCTACTAAGGTAGAAGCGGCAACTCTTATTGAATAGTTCCTTAATGGTGTCAAATTGGTTAAAGTGTAGCGAGTAATATTGCTGGTAGTCAAATGAACTAAAACATTTCTTCGAAAACGAGCTCTGCCAACATTGTTATATTCAATCCGATAATGTGTGATAATACCATTACGATCTGCAATTGCTGGTGGTTGCCAACTGACCGAAACGGATGTCGATAGTGACGAACCCATCGATGCAACGATATTAATAACCGATTTTGAGGGTACTAATATGTATATATGAGCAAAATGTAATTGTTAATACAGTACTCCATATTATAAATTAATAATACGATTACAGTTCTGAAATTGAAATTAATATCTCTGACCTGATTGTAATGTCATTATGTAAGCTAATGAACTAAGTGGACCAATTCCAGCTGAAGTAAAACCTTGTATTGCTACGCTATACCTTGAATAATAGTCCAAATCTGTAGCAATCAACGATCTTGTATTTCCTGATAAACTGATTTGATTTACTAAAATTGTTCTATTGCTTGTAGATCCAAGTTTTGTATTACTTAAGATTAAGTAATATCCTGATATAATACCATTCTTTTCATTCTCTGGAATAGCCTTGAAGGCAATCATACATGGGTCAGAATGTTACTGTAACTGAAACTTTAATTTTCATAACTCTAATTATATAATTTTAAAAAATACGAATTATATTTTGGCTAGTAGAACATCATTAACACTAATATCGAAACTGCTTGCTTAATATAATAACACTGATTACAAATTGTAATAAATAGGGCGTAAGAAATTACAAATACCTTCCAATTTATTTTGATAGTATTGTTATTTGTTAAAGTAACAGTTGTTATGCTTGGACTTGTGGAAGGCGCTTTATAAGGTGAATAATCAGATATTAAATTAAATTAATCGAGATATCATCAGCTAAATACAGTTTTTAATCAACGTATTTAGTAGTTTAGGTGGAATTACTTGCTCAATATGATATCGCATACGAGAGTGCTATCACTTTTAGTTATTTTAACTATCATAGCTTGATTGCATAGCCCTTCTTTATATACTTAATATTTATTGTAATATACACTACTGATCGATCTCTATACTTTAGACTTAAAGTACACTTTATAAATCTTTAGAGTCAAAAGAAATCAGCTTCACAAGTTTAGTAAGCCATGCGACCATCTAAAACCGTTATTCACCGATTAAATGCATATCACGTATTCGTCTGATTTACATGAATTTACTAGTAATTTCTATATAGTACTATATCCACAGAGAAAGCTAGAAGGATGATATTTATAATCAATTCCAAGTACTGTATATCAAATATAATAATTAGTATACATTTAGATATTATATGTTAATATTAAGATTAAAGCTAATGTAGGCAAGCTCATATCCAATTTCTGTATAAAAGGCTTCATTTACATGTAAAAATGGCCAGGTGTAGTAATTTATAATAGAATAAAATCCAAGTGATAAATATTAATTTTATACATGCACGCGTATATCCTAGGAATACACTTGTAGGAAAATAGGATCTATAGTGAGATCCTAGTAATCATAAGTAAGATGACAGTGCTAGAGCTTGAGTGAACTAGTGATACCTGGGATTACTTTAGGCGTTAAGATAGTCGGGTGCTATTAATAGGTGATTCTAGAGATGATAGCAGTAATCTTAACTGAGACTACAGGGCACCTCGGTAAGCGGTATCTGCATGTCTCAGTAACTCGTATAAGATTGTTTCAGAATGAGGGTGACAATCATACTTAGTTAACGAGTTTGCATCTGTAGAAGCCATACTAAGTACTGGGTTGTATAAAGGAAACTACAGATTAAGTTAAGTTAGCTTATTAGTTGAATTGTCTGGAGAGAATGATTTGGCAAACAAGCTTGCCAACGTGTTGCATAGAAGGATATAAAAGGCTGGTTCCTTCCGAGAGAAGTTCAGTCGATAACCTGAGAGCTAGCTGTATGCAGTTGCGTATTGTAACATTTTATTACTGTAACATTTAGCAATACGAGTATTTATAAGTAATAAAACTATTTCTAACCGGTAAATTAATTATCAGACTAATCATTGGGGGACAAGTTTACAGCGGGCTAAAGGTAGCACTTTATTACAACATTTTATAATGAAGATTACGGCAAATATGTATTTAAGAATTACACTCATAATACGCTTACCTGCTTCATCTGTTACTGTTGTAACAGTAATACTAGGTCCAAATCCTGCTACAGTGCCAGCTTTGATGGTAAGACTGTAATTAGTATAAGCCTTCAAATTATTAATCGTGTACGTTAAGGTACCGCCAGAAGCCGATGCCGACATTGTAACATTCGAGCCAGTAATCTTATAATCAATTTCATATGCTGTAATTACTCCATTTCGATCTGAAATTACAGGGGGCTGCCATGACAGTTTAATACCAGTCGATGATAATACTGTTGCAATGGTATTGATTGGCGTCGATGACGGAGCTATACATATAAAAAAGTTATTCGGTTAACAGAAATAAGTATGTTACAAGAAAAACAAATTATATCGTATTTAATCATTCAAATAAATCCAATTCTATATCTGACATAAACGTAAACATAGATGTAAGTATAAATACGTAGTTAAGGATTTCAGTTATATGTATTTAAGAATTACACTCATAATACGCTTACCTGCTTCATCTGTTACTGCTGTAACAGTAATACTAGGTCCAAATCCTGCTACAGTGCCAGCTTTGATGGTAAGACTGTAATTAGTATAAGCCTTCAAATTATTAATCGTGTACGTTAAGATACCGCCAGAAGCCGATGCCGACATTGTAACATTCGAGCCAGTAATCTCATAATCAATTTCATATGCTGTAATTACTCCATTTCGATCTGAAATTACAGGGGGCTGCCAAGATAGTCTAATACTAGTCGATGATAACACTGTTGCAATAACGTTGACTGGCGGAGATGACGGAGCTGCGTAACAAAAATCATACGGTTTATAATTTTACAGATCTTTGCATCATCCATCATCGAGTCATTCATGAGAAACAATTTATTAGGTAAATTAGCGGAATATATATGAACGTGACCGTATGCGAAGTCGGTCATTTTGCAAACTGCCCGGGCATTTTGCAAAATGACAATACAAGCACCAACCTGACAAACTGTTCAGAATATTCATTTAAACATTAAATCTATATTTGGTTAAGATTTATAACTTAAAATACTCACCATATTCATGAGTGGTAGCATTGACAATATTACTTTCCGGACCTGTTAAATTATATTTAATGTTATACGGAATGACTTTATAATAGTAATACTGATCCTGTTGTAAACCAGTCGAGTAAACACTTCTTGTGGTGCCGTCAAAAATCATAACTCCCGAAGAATTTAGGCTTAAACTACGTGATGAATCAACATATATCCATTGATATAATCGGTAGCCCACTATCCCATATGATAGTGCTGGAGAATCCCAAATAATTTGAATACTTGTAGCATTATAACCCAATGCAACGATATTTCTCACCATACTTGCTGGAGCTGCAATTATGGATATATAATTAACATAGATTATACTAATATATGAATTAGATACGGTAAGCAGAGATAAAAATTTATATTCCATCTACAATATGTATTTAAATCGTGCTCATCATAACGGATCAATTTAAGCGTTATCGCCAACATCTCACAACAAATTGTATGAAGCTAAATCTATACTATATTTACCGCTTTCATCAGTCTGTACTGTGATAGCCATCTTTCTACCATTACCGGCAATATTTGAAGCCCATATATTAATGTTATAGTTCTGATATGGTATAAGGCTAGTTATAGTAGTGAAAGGGAAGGTTATAACACATCCATTTGATATTAAACTGTCGTAACAAGACTGATTAATCACGGTATTATTGAATTGCAGAATAATTTCCACTGTATAATTGGTTATGGTCGTATAGCCATTAAACGAAGGAGGCAACCATGAAACGTTTAGTGCGGAAGCAGTAATATTGGAAACTGTTATCTTGCTAATAGCTGCAGGAGGGACTGTAGTTATTAAATTAAAATCAAAACAATAGCTTAAAAATTAACATTTTTGATTACATTCAGATCCAAGTAATTGAAGAATATTGGAGTAATTTAATTACTGTAACTCTAGTTTTTTAATAATTTCTTAACAATAAATTCGATATATGATTGATAATAAAGAAAAATAATTCTGAAATCATACGCGTACACCCTATGTTTAGAATGTTAATAGTACAGTTAAGAGTAGAAATCAATTTCATACCCATGACAACGACGGAAATATTAGGTGATGTAGCTGAAGAGAATGCATTTTGGATCCAACAGCTATAGTTGCCAGCATCAAATAAAGTTACAGAATTAATAATCAATGTACTAGAGGCCATAGTGATGCCATCAGCTTGAAAGGAGGTCATTGTTGATGATAGACCATTATCTAATGCAGTATTATTCCTCTGCCAGATGATACTAGCAGATGGTAGACTGGAAGTATTGCAAATTAAGCGAATCATGCCACCATGAATCACTCGTAACGAAGTTGTTTGGTGCAGAATAATCGGTACAGCTAGTAATAAAGCATGAATCATAATGAGAGCTATGTGAGAGTATTGATGTTCACAACACAACAGATTTTAATAGGAAAAATAAATATTATAGCATAACAAAAGCTGTCTAGATAATTTAAATTTATAATACAGTTCTCTTATTTATAATTTTCAATGGTTGTACAAGACTTTATTACATTTGGTGGCTCATGAATTTAAAATATGAACAGCCTTATTGATAACTAAATGATAAACTTCCATTTTCCACTGTTACTATAATTTATAATCAAGCTCTTGCAATCCAATTGACGGTAACAGTAATTACCATGATTTTATAGTTTATAATTTTAACTACATCAAATTCGTAATATTAAAGAGATTAAAATACTTCAATACGCTCATTTGTATTTCTATAGCCTTATGTATAAAGCCGTTACGAGATCTTATTATATGTATTAGGGTATAAGTGCGTAACATATGTACTAAAGTTGAAGATGATTATAACTATTACTGTAACTATAAAAAACAGAAGAGAACATACGCCCTTCTTACGGTAACTCTATACTAGCCTCAATAGCACTGCAAAGCTCTACTGAGATACTTTCTTTATGTAATATTTGTGAACTGTTTTGAATTGTATAAGGTACTACATTGCCAAAAATTGATAAGTTAGATAAAATTTGTAACTATCCTGGAATAACTTTATATTTACTCGATAGCAGTTAAGATTTTAGTGAAATTTGAATGAATGCAATTAATTTTTATTATATTTTAGTACTATAACAAATATTTTTTGAGTAATAATATCCATGATATATGTAACGCAAGTATACTAAATATTGCATTTTTTATATTATTGGCAATATAGTATTTAAAACAGCTATGCGACACTACTGAAATATGTAAAGACCCTAAAAAACTTTATTGAATGTACAAACGCTACAACGATATTGTGTAGAATTGTGTTTTTTTTTAATTAATCTCACTTACTGAAGACGTTTATCGTTGAAGCTTGGGTTAATACCGAGCCAGCAGAATTATTAAATAAGCAACGATAATCTGCCGAGTCTTTCGCTGTTACGTTTCCAATTGTTAAGCTATTCGAAACAGCATTCGATATTGCCTGCCCACCTTTCGTCCAAGTCACAGTTGGTGAAGGTTTACCAGTTCCCTCACAAGTTAATATAACCGTTTCACCAAGAAGTACAACACGGCTTATAGGCGAAAGCAAGACGGTTGGAGGAACTATTAGCAAATAAGCAAACAATTTTGTTATTCTTTAGATACGATAAATATTTATATCATCAGCGCGTAAGACTAACATCTTCAAACAATTTATCAAGTGTCACAAACAGCTACCAAATTAAAGCAATAGAATGAGCAATAAGCAGTCCTTACTTTCAATTACAACTGTCGCGATGTTACTCGTAGCTTGTCCAATGAAGTTAACAGCTCTACAGTGATACCGACCTTCATCAGCTAATGATGAATTATTTATAGTTAGCGTACTGTACCCAATCAAGGAAAAATACTGGTAAGCTGTTTTATTCAGCAGACTGTCATCTTTAAACCATGTAATGTTAGGATAGGGATTACTTGTACTATTACAAGACAAAGTAATTTGCTGTCCCAAAATTTTAGTTTGATTTCTTGGCGACATGACAAACCTCGGATATGCTAGGTAGACATAGAATCAAAGTAAGGTAATCATTTTTACAGCAGTCTGAATGGTTCGTTACGTTTACTGCTAATATCAATCCGATTTAATTCTACAAAGTAACAGAACTTACTATAAACATTGATTATAGCCGCAGAACTAGTAGAAGTATCAACTTCATTTGTAGCCTGACATTTATAACGACCGGCTTCAATTCCAGACACATTAAGTAAGGCTAAAGTTGTATAACTTGATGTAGCATTAACAAATGTTACAATTTGATCATTTCTAAGCCAAATCCATGAAGATTCAGGGTTACTAGTAGCATTGCAAGACAGCATCAGCGATTGACCTTCTGTTACATTGTTGCTCTCTGGAGATACCGTGATAATAGGCTTATCTAAGTCAACCGAGAAAATAAAAGGTAATTTATCTCAAATATTAAATACGCCAATAACATACTCGAATATTCATAATTTATAATTTATCAGTCAACTTATACGTCTTTGATAACGATTAATTGAAGCGATTATACGTAAATCCTAGCTCAAATACTCTTATATATTTCCAAATTTAAATTCTACTTTCATGGTTATACTTACAGTATACAACAACCTCTCCTATAGATCCATATATCGTTCCCATCAAATTTTTTGCTGAGCACTCATAAAATCCAGCTTGAGATACAGATATGTTAGAAATCGTTAATACGCCGTAACCATTTGACGATATTTGCCTGGCATTACTATAAGTTATTGCTGTACTATTTTTCAACCAAATAATTTCCGGAATAGGATTGCCTGATACATTACATGTCAGTATACTAATCCCTCCTTCATTGACCACTACGTTGCTTGTTGAAGCAGTAATGACTGGCATAGCTGAAAGAAATTTAATGTTATTTTAATTCATTCATTGATTAAAATTGTAGGTTTATTTAGAGAATTTGAATGCGCTATTTTTATCTATTATGTTACTTAAATTAAAGTAGCAATTGAAAATTTATAAGATATTTTACTAGGTTGCAAGTTCCCTATTTTAATGGTATGGCATCAATTTCCACTTACTGTAAACATCAATAAATCCATTACTACTACTTGCAGTACCAGCAATATTTGTAGCAGAGCATCTGTAATTGCCTATATCGGCACTAGATAGATTATACAGCGTCAGCTCCGCATGATCTGATGATATATTCGTATAATTTATAATTTGATTATTCTTCAACCATGTCCATGTTGGTGAGGGATTTCCAGTTGCATTGCACGATAAGGTTAGAGATTCTCCGTTTGCCCTATTTTGGCTTTGTAGAGATACTGTTATCAAAGGTTTATCTAAAGTTAATAAAAGTAAACATAAATAGAACTTAGCTTTATGGCTTACTTATATGATGTTATGATTATCATAACATCTAATTTCAATCAAAAGCTTACAATAAACGTCAACTACCGCTGGGACCGAAGTTACATTCCCCACCCTATTGCTTGCAACACACTGATATTGTCCTGACTGACTCTTTGTTATATTCAATATTGTTAGTGTGCTACTACCATTTGCTGAATCTTGTATAGTATTACTAAAATTTACAGCAATTCTATTTCTGAGCCAGGTTATAACAGGTATAGGACGACCGATACTGTTACACGTGAGTGCAGCAATTCCTTCTTCGATAATGCCTGTATTTCTAGGTATATTTATCAGTTTCGGTAAAGCTGAAACAGGATCAAAGGACATTCATGTATTTAATTAATCTATTCTTAAATAATTCGATTTCATTACGTACCGATATTAGCTTTACTAAAACTCCAAAACATGATATATTGCTTATTGAGTAATTTAATTGCACCTTTAGATATAATACAATATACAAACATCTAAACTAGCAAGTTTGTGTATCTCGAACTTACTATAAACATTGACAGTCACCGATCTACTTATATGACTTCCGATTACATTCGTTGATTTACATGTATATTTTCCAATTCCGATCGTTGATATGTTAGCAATAATTAATTGACCATATCCATTTACTGATGTTTGAATAATGTTGCTCATTGCAACTAATATATCATCCTTATACCAAGAAATAATTGGCGTTGGATAGCCGGTACTATTACACGATAGAGTAATAGTATTACCCTCAACCACTTCCGTATTATTTAATATACTCACTACTCGTGGATAAGCTATAAAACATAATTGATAGGCTATATTACTTATAATTTTTTATGTATCGAAAAATTATAAATGCAATGTATAGTAATTTAAGACCGAAACAAGGTCTACATTAAATTTTATCATCTAAAGTAACCGTGATCTACGAAAAACTTACTGTATATATCAATTATGCTCGAGCTGCTTGAACTGCCAGCGATATTTTCACCAAGACACCGATAAATGCCTACATCTATCCTAGACACGTTCAGTAACGTCAGTGTAGTATAACTAAGCGATGATGTATTCATAAAGCCAATAATACTTTGACCATTTTTCAGCCATGTCAAAGTGGGCGAAGGATTTCCAGTTGCATTGCAAGATAATGTTACTGATTCACCATGCGTCATGTTATAATTCCGTGGAGATACCACAACTACTGGCTTAGCTGTTATAGTAATAATAAGACAATGCAAATTTAATATAGCGGTATGATCAAATACCACGCTAACTGAAGATGCTCGATAAGCCCACTTGTATAATACTGTACATTCCAGAATTGAAATTCGATGAACAGTATAGAAATTGCATAAATTATTTTCAACAAAGTACCTTACTATAAGGTTTATCATAAAATACTAAACGATAACAATCATCAAAAGCTGTAACGTCAGCAAACACTTACTGTACACGTCGATGATTCCAGTACTACTCGTAGAGCTACCAATAGTATTTTCAGCACGGCATTGATAACTGCCTACATCCAAACTAGACACATTCTGTAGCTTTAACGTAGAATAAGCAGAAGACGACGAATTCGTATAATCAACGATAGTTTGGTTGTTCTTAAGCCATATCCATGTAGGATAAGGATTTCCGGTTGCATTACAAGATATTATTATAGTATCGCCTTCCGTTTTATTTAAGCTAAGTGGCGATAAAGTAACCACTGGCTTATCTTTTATAACAGAATAGAGTTATATTAATTATTAAACTTCATTTAAACTAATTTATCTTTAATACAGAGAAAACAATAAACCGAGGACTATTTGATATATCGGACTAAATAGAATCAATTCTACTGTAGTAGTTTAATAATATTCACTATAAATTTTGATACATACAAAGTACATCAACGCCTATAGGATTTGCATACGCGGTTCCTACTAGATTTTCAGATTCACATTGATAAAATCCAGCTTGTGATCTTGATACATTTGTAATCGTCAGT